CCCGAGTAAGAAATACACGAGTCTATGACGTATACTTGTGAAAACATCACATGGTAGCGGCTACCTATTTCATCCCTAAGCTTCGGCGCACGATTAGCGTTCATGTCGCATTTTTGGGGGTTGGAATAGCGCCAGGGCGCATGCTTCCGGGCGCCCGTCTCGCCCGTCAAACCACGAGTGCACGACAGGTACGGCAAAAACGGGTGGTGGGAAGCATGCAAATGTAGGTCAGGGACGTACGGAATACTGTGTCGGTGGAGATGCCATTGGGCAGATTGGCATAAAGGGAGCCGTGGTCTTTGGGGTTTTGGGGGTCTTTGGGGTCTTCAATCAAATCCTCGAGTCAGTAGGGCAAGCCCAGTCTAGACTCCATTGGCTGTTGAACCGTTTAGTTTGAACTCTAATAATACAAACTATAACGGTTTTTGGCCACTTATCTCAACAATGGCGGAGGTGAGTGCATACAGACTCGTTGGACCCCGAAAAGTCGGTCTATCATGATCGTGTTTTATTATTATCTTCAGCTCGCATCTTTATTTGTCGCTGAGAGTATTGTCCATGTGTCCAATTTGGTTCGAATGAGATGAGTCGCTGTTTACATACCTAGTCCTGCAGCTTCATCAGTGCCGATGATAATCATTCTTCGGTGGCTTTGGGGTCACGCCAATGCTGCTTCCGACAGCATCTATTCCGAATACTCGCAGGCAGGATGGCAGACGCTGCATGCTCCATGATCAAGTGCCGATATACTCGCCCTGAGAAAAGTCTCAGCATCAGACTCCAGAAACGAGGAGTGCTGGTGTGACTCTCAGAATAGCATCAACTAGCGAGCTAGCATTCGACACTGTCGCAAAAGTCTCATCTGGCACTGGGCGGGACTATCTTTTCCAATATCGGCACATATTCTGTGCTTGTGTGCAGCGCCAGCTGAAGAAAGCATTCAGAAAATTTCATCTACCGGCGATCGGCTGTGGTTGTGGGTCGTGCTCCTGAACGCCGACGAAGCCACGGAGAGCGAGGTTTTGATGGCAGATCCCGATTGCTAATGGAAGTTTCAGACTTCGGCGAGGACCCCAGCAACGCCAAGACTCTTGTAACTTGCAAGAAAAGAGAGTTTGAATCGAGCACCGAGCAGTTGACCAGTGAAATTTCCTATCCAAGGGAGATAGACATAAACATATATGCACAAGCAGCTGCATCGATTTTATTGCTTCGTTTTCTTTTCCTACTGGTTTTTTTGATGCCAACCCACCTATTCCACTCGATATTGCTGTCATTAGTGGCCTCAAATTTGACCAAATCATTCCGTCATGTTTGCATAGAAAGCCAAATTGTTGTTTCTGAGTGAACCAACGAAGCCATAGCAGCCGACGCAGCACGGGTACACAATCTTCGAAGCAAAGCTGGTCGACATAGGCGGCTTCAAGGACAGCAGAGCAGCGCGGCTCATCAATGCCTTACTTCATACCATGCCTTCAAGTAATAGCTAGTCATCTCGACTTCAATACCACACAGCTTCAATATACAGCCTTGAACGGGGCATAACAGAAACACAGTATCAGTCAGTATCGGTATACTGTCTAATGAGCCCGTCAGACTTGAATTTGAGGAAGCAGATGTTGCAATATCTAAACCACATAGGAAAGCATTGTCATATACTCAAAGACGACAATTGGGCCATGTTCGAGAATGAAGGTTGAAGGGCATGACGACAATAGCGACTTCTCCCTTGAGCACATTGCCTCTGCCCTCGTCCCATCACCGTATTGTAACGTGCAAAGACGCAACCGACAACATTCAAGGGACTCGCGCTGTTTTTGAGCATATCGATCACAACCAACCCAGAGCTCAGGGCCCTTCCGCAGCACCACACGAAAACCACAACGTTACTCTCAAGAACGTTGATATCCTGGGAGGCCACCATCCGCAAGGCCACCTGCCATCAACAATCTAGGTTCTAGTCTTAACTTCATTTATACCGTCCGCTCGAGACTCAACCCACGAACACCAGCATTTGTTGACCTCACTGCGGGGCTCTGTAGTCCGACGATACAATCAAGAGGAAAAGAGCAAGAAGAAGCCGGGCTTGCTATGCTATTATAAGAGTGCATTATTTTTGACGGGCATTTTCCTTGACAGAGAATGAAATGGTATTTCGAATCGCAATGCCTGTCAATGAAAGATACGCCGGGTGGAGAGGGGGGGAAACATTCGAAGAGATCCATCACGCCTGCCTTACAAAGATGAAAGACCCCTAGGTTCGGGCCGCAGAAAAGTACCTGAGTCAACTTTTCGTGTGTGGGCAAGCACCTTACTTCCCGCTATTCCCATGCGCTGTGGCTGCTGACATCTGTTGTCTCATTCCTAAACAGCAAAAGCTGGCGTTTTCTCGCCGATCGAAATCGGTCCCGAGAATGATTGGGCTCAAAACCCCGGGGGGAAGCGATACACTTTGCATCTTTCACACACAATTCACAAAACGCTGTGTGTATGTTCCAAAATCCCGTGCCTTTGCGTGCCTGACAATCATTCGCACAAATCGATTTTTCATAAAATGGTCTTTGCTCAAATGTGCAAACTGGGGGGGGGATTGCATCTCCGGGGGCCCGTTGTGCGACCCTTCTTTTCGGTTCCCTCGGCACCGAGGCTGGTGCCCAATCGAACCTGAACCCATCAGCCCGCATACCCGCCTTGTTGATCCATGACCCGGGTTGACGGCAAAAGAACCAAGTCAGCATTTCTGGTAAAGGATCCGAGTTCTTGTACCACCATGGGGATGCAATCGAGCATGTTTGGATGCATTTCCCGTGTGGCAGCTGAAAAGAGGGATTTCTACACGCTCACACACTCTTGCTGCGCCTTTGCTGGCGTTCGGATTGCGCGCTGTCCGAGTGTTCACGTTGAATTGCTGTGAGCAGAGTAAGTTTATGGGTTCAACATAAGATGTTGGCTCCGATTCGTGCCAAATTATCTCGGCTGTATCTATGGTACACAGGCGTAGTCAGATCTTCTGGAGATTCTTGCTGCACGGGTTCTCCGCACACCCTATGCCACGGAACTGCCTCAAGACAAGGCTGTATGGACAAGAGGCAACGAGCATGTTCACTGGCCGGTGGCGCCCCCAAAGGCGGCGCCACGATCGGCACAGCAGATTTCTTGCAAGTGAAGGTAAGAAGATAATTCCCATGGAACCCGGAAACTTGTGTTGATCTTCACAAGTTTACATCCCAAACATTCGGTCTCCTGCGGAGAAACTCTACCAGGCTATTGTCTCATTCTTGTTGGACAAGCAGTGGTCCCATGATCGTCGTGGCTTTCAGTACACGCGACAAGTAGTATAAAATCAGTCTTCCGTGTTCAAAGAGTGCGGAATCCTTTGATCGTGACGCCATGGGAGCCTCTGTGTCGACTCCCGGAGGAGACCCGGAGTCCATTCTCGACGGACCTGCCTTGACACCGCCGGCGGGTGTCGTGCCCGATTTTGACGATCCGCCTAATTCCAACACCACGGCGCGCGCCATCATGGCCGTATGCTTGACTATCGGATCAATATTCTTCTTACTACGAACCTATAGTACCTGGTTCGTGGCCAAGAAACCCCGGATGAGCGACTGTAGGGTTTCTCTAGTTTCTTTCGAGTCATATTGCGAGTCCTTTCATACTGATTCTGATACTGCTTCGGAACAAATAGACGTCATGATTTCTACGTTTGTATGACATTGCGAACAGGAAGAATCTCCTCTTTGTGAGCAATATTGCTGATATAAATATTTTAGATCCTGTATGTCGCGTTCGTTGCTGTCTTCTTCGCGGCGGGAAAGTATGGACATTTTGTCCACCAGTATGATATACGCGTGAGAGATCTACCACATGTGCTCTACGTAAGTTCACGGACCGGAGAATACGGGACTGAACTCTGGCTTTGAACAGGAGAGAAAACTGATTTCTGTTCCACAGCTTTGGACTTGCCTCATCACTCTCTACGCCGTCGAGCTCATGATGATCAAGACGGTGATCCTCCTCGAGTGGGTCCAGCTCTTCTGTCCGACAGGAGCCAAGAACTCGTTTTGGTGGATCGCACACGTGCTGATGGGCGTGAATATCCTCTTTTATCTCGCGGCCACACTTGCGCTGCACCTGAGCTGTTTCCCACATGCGCGCCTCTGGGATAAGACTCTACCCGGGAAGTGCCTGGACACGCGGCCGCTCGACGTTACCTCGGCGTTTGTTAATGTCCTGGTCGATCTGGGGATCCTGCTCCTGCCGCAGCGGGTCATTTGGAAGTTGCGCATGTCGAGGCGCAAGAGAATCGGCGTGTCCGCCGTTTTCGGTCTGGGTATCGTGTAAGTTTGCCCCGTTCCCACATGGCCTTTGCAGCATATAGCTGACCAAGTGATCGATACTCTGAATCAAACAGTGTGATTGGCTTTGCTGGAACTCGTACCGTCTTCACCATTCTCCACTCCACGAGACCCTCGGAAAGTGCCGACTTTACGTACAACTCCTCACTCCAGATCCTGCTGTTTGCCGTCGAAGTAACACTGGGCATCGTCATCTTTTGTCTTCCCGCGTGTCCCAAGGCGTTTGAGTCGTCGTCCTCCCTTTCTTCTTCACCTTCACGTCTCTCGAATTGGTTCGGCAGGATCAGATCATCGCCAAAGACGACGGGTACAATATTATCGACGGAAGGCAGTGGTGGGAGCAGGCGCGTTGGGCCTCGCTCTGCGTGGACTCCCATTGCCCACAAGAGAGGCCTGTCGACGGAGCAATACGACGCGCCCTTTGCTTTGCACGAGGAGTACGATGAAGACTTTTCCGAGACCTGGCTGAGTCCGCGCAACGATGCCAATCAATACTACTTAGATGAACAGTATGCAATGTCGCAGTGGGTAGATGTCACTTCCGTCAATGACGAAAGGAGGGCAAACCATGGGATGGCTGGCTGAGAGAAGTGTATACACAATATATCTGCTTCATGGGAGGCATTAAAAAAAGAATGAAAGCACTGGTAAGTTTTGATCTTACGATCTTCGGTTTTCACAATATATTGTATCATGAGGCCGACGCTGTCCCAACTGAGCCACCGTGCTTTTTACCCAGGACGTCATCCTGACTTGCTCTTGAAGAAACTTGTCATTTGTTTCTCTAGAAAAATAGTGATTCACATCGTTTTCCTGTCTCTTGCTTACGCGTGGATGTGTTGGAGGGTCTGATTGTGAGTCACGACAGAGCAACTCGGAATGGGGGGCTGAGCAACCACTCTAGCTGTGCCGTCCAGCACACACATCTTGCACCCACTCACAGGAGCCAAATGGAATAGTCGCGGCGCGATAAGAGATAATCGCCCCCAATAAGGCTCAAGATGTGAGAGAAAGCATCAATGTATGGACATTAGTGACGAACTGTTCTATCTGACCCTACCTCTCTCACTTGACCTTGCCGCTCACGCCAAATCATAAAACCCTGAAATTGCTCCCATTGCTGGTGGACTACTGTCATCCGTCTTGCCGATGCAGTAAACTGTTGAGATCATTACAATGCCACACCCTTCTTCATGTAACCTTTTCAACCTTCTTCACGCCGCCTCGGCGATTCGCTCGGGCGGCACCGCGTCCAGCGGGACCCTTCTTGCCCATCGGGACTCTAGCCACGACGGAAGGCAAGAGGTCGGCGACCTTTTGGCCGTCCTTCCAGAGCTGGCCGACGCCCTGCTTGCGGCCGCGGGCCTCCTTGACGTACTTCATGGGCACCGTGCCGTCCTCGTTGCCCTCGGTGAGCACGACGCCGTTTGAGCTCAGCCACCACTTCATGCCGCCGTCCTCTAGGCTCTTGGCCACGTCGACAAAGACGAGCACCTCGGCGTCATTGCGCATGCCGCTTATGACTTTGGATTTGTTGTTGCTGCTGTTCTTCTTGCCGGAGGCGGCGGCCTTGTCCTGCTGCATCTCATCTTGGGCATCGTGGACTTGAGCCTTGTCCTTGCCGTCCTCGGGTAAGCCGGTGCCAAAGTGGACGTGGGTACGGTCCATCTTCTTCAGGCCGCCACTTTCGACGATCTGGGGCCAAAAGGCAAAGTATGTGCCGTGCACGACGACATCAGGAATGTTACCGGCCTCCAGGGTAATGGGCGTGTGCAGACCCTCGCTGTCAAGTTTGATGCTATGTCCTTGGTTTGCGCGAATGAGCCAGTCCGCTGGATTGGTGGAGTCCGGATCATCTGAGCCATCAACGGGCTTCATGCTGAAGCGCTGCTTGGCATTATCGGCGACTGCACTCTTGATTTCTGCAAATGAAGGCTTGAGAGATCTGATGCGTGACCATTGGAGCTGTGAAGTTTTGTTAGCATGAATGATTTTGCGGACTCATGGCATGAACATATAAAGCATTGGACGTGGACGGTTAATTGTGAGATGGGATGGATGAGATAAGATGGAATAACAAAGAAAGGCACCAGGAAAAAAACTCACAACTTTGTCAAGGCGGGCAAAGCCTTCATCATCCAGCTCGATCCCAGCCTCTTCAGCCTTGTGTCTGAGGAGCATGCTCAATGCTTTGCTGATGTTGAGGTCGCGCTTCTGTTGCTCTGATCCAGCTCCGGGAGCAGCCTTGCGACCACCATTCTTACCCTTGATGGCGAGGGCCTCCATCTGGTCCTGGGTGTCGGCGAAATCCTCGTCGACAGGCATGGTGATTCTTTGTTGACGCTGGCGACGAAAAAGTTGCAGTCTGTGATTGCGCCGACTATGATAGCACCGACTCTGATGGTCGACGGGTAGTGGTTGCGACTGATTGTGTTCAAGTAGAGAGTTGTTGTAACAAGGTGGGGTGGAAATCCGAGTTGCGACAAAAGCAGTAACGCGCTTCGGTCTCGTTTGCAGGTGGGAAAACGAGCGCAAAGAGAAGACGTTGAAGCCTCTTCCGGCAGCAATTTTCGCCAGCTTGGGCTTTGTGTATTATGTCCGTCGAGAACTGTGCTGAAAGTTGTAGTTGAACAACAACTCAGTTATGAATGTCTGAGTTGGGTTACCGGGTGGATTCGAGGCTCTTGAGCCGCGTTTGTAGCTTTAAGTTGGAGGGGCAGAAAAAAAAAGTAGGTACAAAAAAGTATTGGTCGCCGGCCAGGTTTATTCAACTACAAGGAATCGAGTCGCCGGCTGCAGCCAATCAATCCAACCGTCTACCCCTGTAACAGGCAGGCAGGTGCAAACAGCTTTTATTGAACAACTTGACCATCAATTACATCTATCTCGCCTACAGGTACCTACTTATCGACACCAACCACCATCATCGTCATCTTCTGCCTTATCCACCTCAACGCCGTCTGAGTCATCGATGGATCGTTATTGCGCCTCCTGGCTGCTTGTCATTTATAGTACGAGGCCGAGAACCAAAGTGGGCTTAGCCCAAAATGATTCATTCTTAATCAGGTCGTCAGCAGTCTCACAGGAACAAATGAGGCATGGCACGAATGACAAAGTTATAAAAAATTCCACTTCGCTGCAATATTCGAATTCATGTGCGCCATCTCAAGGAGCAAGTATACTATTCGTATTTGACTGCCTGGACCCTTTTTCATCCATGTTCATGTCCTCTTTAGAAGAGATTAGAGGATGCCGTGATGAGTCTTCGTTGCGCCCATACCCCCACGAAATCGAGATCCAATCTGAGGAAATGATTTTGTTCGCGCTACACCGCAATGCTCGTCGTTTGTCGCTTGGAAAATCATTCCAATGCTGTCCGTTACAAGTATGCCGTTAGCGCCCATGTTTCCTGCCTCTTGGCCCTTTCTTTTGGTCTACACAACGGCTCGAAATATTATACAAGGAAATGCCAATGGCCAACCACGCTGTACCGAATGTGAGGACAAAGGAAATGTTTTCTCGCAAATGGAAGAAGGGAAGTCTAGGACATAATGATTTATGAAGAAGAAGATGATGATAAAATAGGGCAGTCCGACCGACGGCTCCCTCCAAAAACTCCTTTTGAATGCATGAACGTTGGCGTCGTAAAAAAAATCATGACGACGGGTCTTATTATGTACACTGTCGTATTGCCATTAATCATGCCCATCATTACCGGTAGCCGGCCGCTTGCTCCGTTGCTGAACGACTTGTCAACACGCTTTCGCGAAGCCTCCTTTGAAGGCTGCTATTGCGACTCGGAAGCCCTCTACTTTCCGGCCCAGAAAACGACCTCTGTCCGCGTTCTTCCGCAAGCTTCTCGGCCAAGTTGCTGCTCTCGCGATCTGGTTCAGTCCTATCCATGTACCGCCTTGTCGCAAGGGGACTGTTTGTGGTAGGCTGAAGACGTGTATTAATGGAAGATAAGCCCAGGCGCCGTCGCTGCATTGGTGAGGCACCCAGACCAGCCGACTCGATTGACGCCATTGGTATCTGTGGGTTGAACTCCTGAGCTACAGGAGGGCGAGGGCCTGTCAGGTCTGTTGCCGTTCGCGACATTGATCGGATCCGTGCTGAGCGATCGTCTTCCTCTTCATCGTGAATTGTTCGACGCGTTCGCAATAACGAGGATCGACGTCCGGCTTGTTCGTCGGCCTCTTCTGTGCCGCCCCGACGTGTCCTTAGTAGCAGAGAAGACTTGCGCCCATGTCCAGAGACGCCAGAAACGGATCCAACTTCTTCCGGCTCCTCAGTTCCGCCTCTACGCGAGCGTGGAACCAAGAGTGACGTCCTTCGACCTGCAATTTCGGTAGGTGTTACAGGGGTCTGGGAGGAATAGCGAGAGCTAGGGCTTGGGACGGCGCTGGAGAAGAGCATGCTGCTGCGCCTCTCTTCGAGTCGTGACATTGCTCTGGGACTACTGACAGCTGCAATTACCGGACTACGGTCTGTCAGAATAGTACTCGAGCGTCGTGAAGCGCCGCCGGCCGAAAACCGAGTAATCATAGGACTGCCAGCGAGCCCACTTTCCAGGCTCGGCATTGGCACGTCTTGTGGAAGCTTGGTTTGAGGCACGTCCTCGCTGAGGGCCAGACACAATTCAGTGAGGTTGCGACATATGCTCTCAGCTTTTCTTCTCAACTGCCTGTCCGTCACTGCCGTTGTCCCAACACTGCTCGCAGCACTAGACACGGGGCCTGGCTCGCCAATCCTTCCGATCATGGCAGTCAAAGTGATTGCGTCAGATGCCGCAGCCTCTAAGGCGTTATATACTTCAGGAGGCAAAAGTGACTTGGACTTGTTCATGGCGGATTGTAGAAGTGGTTGACCGTCCTTGAATCCATATGAGGATGATACCACGCTCACTGCATCAGTTTGCGGGGCATGATCCCCACCATTACGTTTAGGCGATGCAGACATGGTGGTTGCATTGGTTGTAGCGGTTGGAGGCCGCTCTTCCGACGCCCTCGACATGGCTGCCCCAGATGTTGGCGGTAGTTTTCCAGTGAGTTCGAGTCGCTGAATGCGAGATCTGATGTCGTCTATTTCATCCCAAACAGTCGAGGGCGCAGCAGTCGAGTTCGAAGACTCCGTCTGGTGGTCACCAAGCTGCGCATCAGGTTTTTGAACCTCCATTGACTTTGGCGCTAGTGGTGAGGAGTTGTAAGTTCGGCTAGAACTGTTTGCAGAGCCAGCAGCCTGTTTTAGAGATGACATGCGCGAGGGCAGCGCCGCAGAAGTGCTGTCAGCATTAGATTGTCTCCTCCGACCATACGAAGAAGTTGACTCAGTGACGGGCTCTTGAAACGTCAAAGTTCGAGGTGTGATGGGCGAAGCCTTTGAGTTACTGTTCTTGATTTCGGAAGTATTTCCATTCGTTAAAGAACTTCTAAATGTCAGGGCTCGCGCAGGTCGCTCGGCCAGGCGCCCCTCTTCTCGCGATTTTGATCTTGCGCTTTCCAAGTCAGACATACGCCTCGATGCTTGGGTTGGAGACATGGGCTGATATGGCGGTATTGCTGATGAAAGTGGGCGTCTATGTGCTGATCGTATGACTCGCGACTGCGTAGCTCGTTAGCAATGATCCATTTACGATGCATGTCTCAAAGAGAATCCATTTAGTGCCTTGTGATATATGTGACAGGAAGTTGATTAACCTCGACGATTATAGTGACCAAGGGTGCGACGCA